GCTGAGATGTTGCCTGGAGGGCACGGGGGCCTCGGCGTGTGGCTGGGACCCAGACCCCCAGCCGTACCCTCTGTCCTACTTCTTGTCCCACTGCTGCTCTTTCTAGGAGGGTGAGGCCCCAAAAGCCCAGGGAGACAAGACTGTCAGGGAGGTGCTCGGGGGGGGGTCTCTCCTCAGGGCTTCCACTGGAGGAATAAAGGCCCCTTCAGTGGCCGGGCAGGGCGCGGTGACGGAACAAGGCCACTGTGAGGGCCTAGCCTGCGCGTGCCATGGGGCCCTCCACGCCAGGCCCTTTGCTGCCTGGGTGCGAATGAGATGCTGTCCCCCTCCAGCTTCCTGTGGAGGGGGCAGGTAAGAGCTAGGTCTGGCCCAGCCAGCAGGCTTGCTTCTAAGGTGTGAACATGAGCTCCAGATCCACACGTCCAGCTGCCATCCCACTGCCCACCTTAGAACCAGCCCGGACTGACGCCCCTGGAGCCCACTGTCACAGCCTCACCAGGTGCCACGAGTCCCATCAGTCTCCTGAAGTGCCTGTGTGCGTCCCCACCTCAGGGCCTTGGCAAGGGCCATTCTGGCACCTGGGAAGCTCAACTCTGTTCTCTCCATAACTGAGGTTGGCCCTTCACGGCCTCCCTACCCCCGGCTCCCTCTGGCCTGTCTCGCCCTTACTGTCTGCTTCCGTGAGTCAGGGACCGTGTGTATTTTGTTCCCGCTGGGGCCATGGCACCCGGAGCTCAATGAGGGCTTGGCCAGTGCCTCTGCTGGGGTCTTGAGGGTATGAATGGTGACAGGCCCCATTCAAGATGGCTGTGAGCACATAGCAGAGTGGCGTGCAGCCCGGTACTTGGAATAGCCTGGAAGGGCCATCCCTGGCCCCAGCACGTGCTGGTGGCCCTGCCCCTTCACACACAGGGCGCGGGAGCAGCTTGTGGGACAGTTTCCAGGAGACGACATGAAGGAAAGCGGGGCCGAGAGGGACAGGGAAGGCCGGTTCTGGGCATCACTCTCATTCTCTCCAGGCAGATTCGAGGCCCGAAGCCCCACTGGAGGCAGCAAGGGAGGACCGGATGAACCTGTGGGTTGAGGCACAGCTGTCCATACCACCCTCCAAAAGTACAAGAGACGACAGACCTAGAGCCAGAACTCTGCTCTGTCTTATGGAGAAGCACAGGAACCTTGCTGCCCAGTTTTCATGTCCATTCAACAGACCAACTGTCCTTTCAGGGCTCACCCTGCCCTCTGGCTCCTTCGTGTTCTTGATTTTTTCAACACAGACTCAGAAGCATGCAAGTGGTTCACTGTGTTGTCTGCACAGTCACACTGAAATACCTTTTAATATAAATTACATTCTGTTATGCTCCCTTTATCTTAGGATATATACATAGGTAGGTTACATTATGAGTGAATTTCATTGCAGGGTGTCACAAACCAGGTCTGTAAGGTTGAAAGCAGGTGTGCCCCGAGCTTCTGGGCCTCTCAGAGGGGAAACCGTAGTATTTAACACTGTAGTACTGTAATGCTGTAGCACTATAGCACTGTCATACTGTAGTACTGTCATACTGTAGCACTGCAGTGAACCCAAGAAGGCTTTACCCACCTTGGCTGGCCTCAGACTCCAGCCTGGAAATTTAATAACAGCTGTTTGTCAGTCAGGCATTTCTTTCACTTGCAGTAGCTCACCCAATCACCATACCAACCCTGTGAAAATAGAGGTACTATTAAATATCTCCACCGTACAGATGACAAAACTAAGGCATGGAGGGCTGAGCCGCTTGTCCAGGGTTATACAAGAAGTGGCAGGGTTAGGACTGGGCCCTAACGCCTAGAGGCATAAGAGAATTATAAAGCCTGGATAAAGTTAGCTATAGAAATGTAAGGACAGTCAGAGCTGGTCTGCATCTTTGTCTTTGAGTTTCCTAGCAGCCAGAGCAAAGAAAGAAATGAGTTATTTCCACTGGAGTCATAATGGCCGTAAGAAAAAAGCCAGCTTTTTGGATGCTGGGAGCTGAGAAGACTTGCTCCCCAGGAGTGGACACTGCAGGAAGTGGTAGGTGACATTCTACTGCTTATATCACAAATAAACCTGGAATGGTTTGGCCATTTCAATCACCTAAGCACAGGGTGACTCTGAGGTGGGTCCAGAGAACAGCTGCTTCCTGGCGTGGTTTGATCTGTGTGGTGGGTAGAATAGAGGGCATGTGAGAAGAAGGGGAACCTGAGCCCCCAAATGTTCCTGTAACTGTTGACATAGCCCCACGGTTTGGCCTCCCGTCTTTTCATCACAGCTCTATCCCTTCTTAACACTCAACCAGAAAGGCATTCACTGGTCCCTCCACACAGCAGCCAGTGCTCCCGAGTCCTGCTCTGGACCCTCCGGCCGGGGCTGCAGCCACAGGTGAGGCTGTCCTGTCTCCATGCTCTCACTTGCCCTTCCAATCCGGGCAGAGCCTCTGTTATCTCCCTACTATCAGGCAGCACGGTAGTTAGACACACTTGCTCTGATTCTTTGCAGGCTGGGGTTCAGACCCTGGCTCTGCCCCTCGAGTTGTGTGGCTCTGGGCAAGACAAACAGGCTGACTGGGGTGGCTCTCACACAAGGAGGCAGTGCAGAGTCGGGAAAGAAGCCCTGTGTCACGCTCAGCCAGCAGGCAGACAGCAGCCAGGACATTGTCTGTACAGCGAGGGCTGGCTGTGGGTGAGGAGGTGGAATCCTCCCTTCAGCACTGCTGCCAGGTCAGCAGTTCCTCAGCTGCTGGGGGTGCAGCTGGGGATGGAGCTGGCATGGAAGGCCCTACATTCAGAGTGAAACCAGTGGCTCTGCTGGTTAATCTCACACTGGGGCCAGGGCCTGGAGCAGAACTGAAAGGAACACCAGGCCTGTTCCCCTCTTGGCCTGGCCTGCTTCCTCCCAGTGCTCCTGAGGGCCTGGAGCCAGCGGGCAGGGTGGGGGCCAGGCAGGGCCAACTGCAAAAGCGGAGGAGGAAGGAAACAGCCCTTCGTACCTTACCCATTTTGCAGACAGGAAATAGAGACTCTGAGAGGCTGGCTGACGGCGAAAGCTGCTGGGGGAGCAGAGGCCCCATTCAGCATGCACTCCGGCGTGTCCAGTGTAGGTGCTGTGTGAGGCCCTGTGCTCCCCACCTCTCACTGCCTGAGACACTTGAAAGGTGAAAACCCCCGGCTGGTGCTGGTCCCTTAGAGCTGGGATTCACTAGCTGTGCAACCTGTCCGAGCTCATACCTCATCTGAACGTTAGTGAGATGACGCAGTAAACCGTGATGAACGTTAGTGTTTCCTAGAGTTGTGGCTACTCTCCCCAGACTGCTATGTCCAACCACCAGGGCAGGACTGGGAGCTCCCAGGAGACCTTCTGGGGCTGGGCCTGGACCAGGAAAAGCCCCCGTTTGGCCAGCCCTCCCTGCCAGGCTGCCCTCTCCCCTCACTGTGCTTCAGCCCTACTGCAGGTGGGGAGGGGGCTGAAGGCAGGCAGCCTGGCCCTGGGGTCACCGTCCCTCTGTAGAGATGCTGGTTAAGCATATGGCTTTGGGGATCAGCTCTTGCGCCACCTTTTGAAAAGGCAGCCTCTGCCCAAGATGTGCCTCCTAGGCAGAGGAGGTGGAGGTGAATCCGCAAAGCCGCGGTGCCGGGAGCTCCCCTTTGGGCCTGCCTCGTTTCCATCTCCCTGCCCTTGCCCTGTGCTGCCCTGGTAGGGGCTGTGGTATTTCCCAGGCGTGTGAGCCCATCTGTGGGTCCCCGGGGAAAGAGCTGCTGGAGGGAGGGGGGCCCAGTGGGGCCTCGTCTGTCTATTCCCCACTTCAGCTCTGGCTTCTCCCCTTGTCCTTCTCTTCTTTTGGCCCCTGCTGGAAACAGCCATCGATCACCTCATGACCCAGAGAAAATCGTATCAGTCTTATCACAAGAAGAAATGAGGGAGATGGGGGGCAGTGGAGGGGTGCCACTCCTGCTCGGGCGATGCTGGCTCCTGGGTTCTAGGGTATCCCAGAGCCTCCTGCTCCCCAGGAACGGGATCTGCAGGGTCAGTGCCTGTTCAGCCAGGGTCAGTCAGGACCCGGAAGAGGAACTCTTGCTGGCAAAGGGGTGGGGGGCCATCTCCCACCTTCCTTGAACCCTGTGTGTGCTGGATGTCGTGGGAGACTCCTGGGCCCAAGGTTTTATGTAGGTTTCTGACTGGCTACAACTGGGGCCAGCCGGGCCAGGCTTTGCCCCTTTGGACAAGTTGGCAGAAACCCCAAGAGCCTGTGGCTAAGCTCCTTTGCCAACTCTCACCCTGCAGCCAAGTCCACCCTCCTTGTCCTAAGACTTGAAGGCAGGACAGATTCGTTAGGTGTGGGAGTTTGAGGCTCCAGGCTCAATGATTTGGGTAGAGATTCAAAACGTGATCTCCCCTTCCTCAGACAATGATTTCACCTCCAAGATTGGAGTTTCTTCTCCCTAAGGTGTGGCGATAGGCCACGAGAGACCTGTGCTAGTGGGGAGCTAATGGCATGACAAAGCCTGGGCCCCTGGCATAGTCAGACCACAGAGGGCAATGTGGCTTGGGTTGGAGACCCTCACGTCCCCTCTCTGGGCCTGCTGTGATGAGGGGGGTCAGCAGCCACTGTGACCTGGCTGGGTGGGGAGCTCTGTGCTCCACCAGTGGGAAGAGAAACAGATGTCAGTAGGCGGACACATGCCAGAGCTGGAATGTCCACCGGTCTAGGTGAAGGTGGGGGTTAGCCCCCAGTCCACATAGGTTTCTGGGAATCTCAGTGTGGGGGCGGGTGGGGACAGTGCTTAAGAGGCTACAGATGAAGGGCCCCCTGCAGGCTCCCACAAGCCAGAATGCTAGGCTTTACTCCAGGCTGGGGTGCTCACTCAGCAGCTCCACAAGCGCTCACTCTGCAAGCTAGGCCCCTGGGGAGACTGCAGAAAAACACAAAGGCCTGGGTGGACAAAGGGCCATCAAGGACAAGGCTTGAGTGCCCTCCTTGGTCTCCTAGAGTTCCAAGCCCAAGCTACAAGCAGCCTGTTCCAGCATCCAGGAAGTCCGGCGGTGTACACGCCTCGAGATGCCCGACAACCTCTATACTTTTGTGCTGAAGGTGAGTGACAGAGCTTTCCACACCCAGGTGCAATGATACATAAACACCTCAGGAATCCCACACAGCTGTTCCCTTTCTCTCTGCCAGGTGAAGGACCGGACAGACATCATCTTTGAGGTGGGAGATGAGCAACAGCTGAATTCGTGGATGGCTGAGCTCCGGGAGCACACAGGCCAAGGGTGAGGCCTCAGACCCTAGGGCCCCACTCCTGACATAGCTTCTACTGCTGCCCCTCACCCACCCCGATCCTTAACCGCAGCCTCTTCTCCAGCAGGCTGGAAAACACAGACCCAGAGATGCATATTCCCTCAGCCCTAGAGCCCAGCACACCCAACTCTCCAAGGGGAAGCACAGATTCCCTGAACCAAGGTGAGTGGGTCCGGGCCTTTGTCCTCTGGGTACATTGGAACCCAGCCTTAGCCCAGAACATAAGGCCCCCACATGTGGTCAACATCACCCACCTTCTCCACAGGTGCTTCTCCTGGGGGTTTGTTGGACCCAGCCTGCCAGAAAACGGATCACTTCCTGTCCTGCTACCCCTGGTTCCATGGCCCCATCTCCCGAGTGAAGGCAGCTCAGCTGGTTCAGCTGCAGGGCCCTGACGCTCACGGAGTGTTCCTGGTACGGCAGAGTGAGACTCGGCGTGGGGAGTATGTGCTCACATTCAACTTTCAGGGCATAGCCAAGGTATGGGGCGAGGCAGGTGGGGCTGCCCCGACTCCCCCAAGTTCAAGGCCCTGAGGGGCCAGGGCCAGGGCCTGAGCCCCGGTCGTCCTCTCCCGCAGCACCTGCGCCTGTCGCTGACGGAGCGGGGCCAGTGCCGAGTGCAGCATCTCCACTTCCCCTCGGTCGTGGACATGCTGCACCACTTCCAGCGCTCACCCATCCCACTCGAGTGTGGGGCTGCCTGTGACGTCCGGCTGTCCAGCTACGTGGTAGTCGTCTCCCAGCCACCAGGTGTGACCCTAATGCCCCTTGATAAAGGGGGTGGGTGGCACAGGGAATGGGGTAGAGGGTAGAAGCTTGCTGCAAAGCCAGGGGCACAGAGATCTCATTTTGTGTCCTTCCAACACTTGCCCCATTAAGACTGACGGTGTGGTCTCTCTCTTGGTCACTTGTCCCCCAGGTTCCTCCAACACTGTCCTGTTCCCTTTCTCCCTCTCTCGCTGGGATTCAGAGCTGGGCCTTCCCCACCTTAGCTCTTCCGGCTGTCCGCGAGGGCTCAGCCCAGAGGGTCTCCCAGGCCGATCCTCTCCCCCAGAGCAGATCTTCCACCTGGTGCCTTCGCCCGAGGAACTGGCCAACAGCCTGCGGCACCTCGAGCCCGAGCCTGCCAGTCGAGCCCGGGACTCAGATTACGAAATGGACGCCTCCTCCCGGAGCCACCTGCGGGCCATAGACAATCAGTACACACCTCTCTGACAGGTGGTGAGGAAGCCCAGGCCTAACAGACGCCCTCGAGGAGCACAAGCAAGCAGAGATGGGAACTTATGAATGTAACTGTCTTTCCTTCCTTCCAGAGAGAGATTTAAGGGACACTGTTAACAGCTCATTCCAGTTTGGATGTAACCTTCTATTGGGCCTGTTAAAGGGCCTCCTATAAGTTTCATCCATCACCTGGCTTTCTCCTTATTGTTTACAGATGTAGTTCTTGTTCGTGGATGCCACTGGCTCCTGCCTTGGGTCCCTAGGGCCAGTCCCCATCACCCTGAGAGGAGGCAGCAGGGTGAGGGCCAGAGCTGGCAGTGGAAACTTGTTCTCTTTTTCACTGACACTGTCACAGATGATGACAGACTTCTACTAGGGGTGTCATCAGGAAGCCCAAAACACTAACAAGCCCTGGATTCTCATATGGTTTTCCAGTTGTAGCTTCAGCCCACGTGGCAGGTCTGCCGTACCCATGCCACAGGTGACCACACCTATCCTGCTTTGACTCTCGGCTTTAGGACAAGCTCTGGCAGATGGACAAGCTAAAGGTCAAAAATGATTTTAAACATTTTACCTCAGATTAATTTTTCAAAGGATTCAGGTTTTAAAACTAAATCATTGCTTATTTCATTGCACTGTTTGAACTAACACCCATGTGATTTTTGTAGTCAGAGACAGCTATGCAAACGCGACTTGACCAGTTCCTGGTCTGAGCCAGCATGCCTGGCTTCCCCGTCTCCTGCGTCCTCAGGACAGTCACCTGCTGCTAAGTGGCCACTGTCCTTCCTAAATGTAGAAAAGTGGAGCGTGGCACCCTCTCAGGGAAGTTCAGGCAATTACTGAAATAGGATGGTGGCAAGGAACAGTTCTACCCAGGTGCCTTATGAACAAAAACTGGGTTCTGGTTTACAGCAGCTTTAGGGTGAGCGTTCAACTGAGGGGGGAGGGAGGGACAAAAAGGGAAGGGCTCCTGGGCCCTTTCTAGTAAATCCGTCCCAACAGGGCTGGCTCAGAGCCCCCCAAGCATCTAATGGCTTATTACAATTATCCCACAAGGTTTTAGGCTCATTCTTGAGCCAAAATGGAAGCTAAGAATCTGGTACCACAGCTAATGAGAAATTTCTTTAATACCCCCCAGTCAACATTCTGTTCAGCTGGTTACTGCTTCATCTGATGAAGAATGTGTGTGCATGTACACACGGGCACACACAATCTCCAACATCCAGGGAGGTCCTGCAGTCAAATCGCCATCTATACTTGCCTTTCACAAGTGATAAAATTCATGGGGGGCTGGCTCCTCCCAGAACTTTCATGCGGAGGCTCAGAAACAAGGCGGGCAGTGACAGAGTAGAGTCAGCTGCTCCTGGGTGCCAGCAGATCATTACAGCCACCAGGCTCACCAAAGTGGCTTCTAGGAAACTGGGAGTTTAGCACAGCTTAACACTTACAGGTACATCAATCAGAGGCTAAAATTAAACCTTGGCCTAAAACTAACTACTGACTGCCTTATCTGGGTTAAGGGTTTGGTCTGCTCTCTCCAGCCATTCTCTGTACTCCAAGAGGTCAGAGGTCAGACTTCTGTTTCTAGAATTTTCTGGGGGTATTTTGCCGGGGGGTGGGGGGGGAAGGGGAGGGCAAGCAGCCATCTCTTCACTTTTAAAACCAACACTCCTGAGTGTTTTCACAGATTGTAAAGCAGATCTAACCCTGATCGAGATTTGTGGTCCATTTCTAAGGACACTTGTCTTTCCTTTTTTTTTTTTTTTTTTTTACAAATCAAGTAGGTTTGTCTAGGTCATGAATGCTAAAGCCAAGTGTGAAGCAGAGGAGTAAGCACTATTCTGGATTTCTCTTTTAAAAGAGAAAGCTCATCACTGAAAGTCAATGCTGACAAGTCACTGGTGCAGGTTTTGTTTTCCCTTTGCACAGAAAAGGGGTCAAGGAGACAATGAACCAAGCAAGTTCCCTCCCTCCAGGCAGAAGTGTAAACCTCTGGGACATGACATCTTCAAGCCAGGGGCACTCACTTCTTAGCAGCCTCTCAACATACAATTCTCAGGTAGTGTGCCAAGAGGCAAGCCAGGCACAGCAAACTAGCAGTTCTGACCCACTGGCCACAAAGTACCAGCTCAGACTCTGACAGAATTGGAAGTCACCCACCTCCAGACTGCCTCAGTGTAAAATGTTCAAGAAAAACCCTTCCTTTCTCAACGTGTCCGAGTTACCAGGACAGCGACAATACATTCTGACAAAAAGCTCCCTCATGGCCTGGGAGGGAGTGACACTAAGCCAATGCCTTTTCTTTTTGCTAGACCAGGTGGAGCTGGAGGAAAGGGAGCAGTGGGTCCCTGGGCTTGATGCCCTCACAGGCAGTGAGGCAGTGACCCTGCTGGCTGCAGCCAGCCCACTGCAGTCATAGCATATTCCACCACCCTCCTTCCAGTCCCCATGTGACTGCTGCTGGCACCAAGAAGCCAAGCCAGCAGCCTCCACTGAGAGCCCAGGCTCCGAGTGCCAAATGGACAGTGAGCATCAGGATCCCTCCAGTTATCTTTAATTACAGACAACAAGGAGAGCTTGACGGCTCCCGGCACCATCACTTTCCTTCATCTGACTTCAATGAACTTTTATAAACTAACAGTCACCAGCACCAAAGAATTAAGTCAACTAACCTGCCTTGAATTTAGACCAGCAATCCATATGGCTTTATCTGGTATAAATCTTCTGCCTTTGATCATTTCTGGACCGTGCAGGAAAAAGGAATAGCAATCATTAAAATCTTAGGCCACAGAACACTATTTTTACATAACAGTTTCTTAACCTCAAATCAAGGCCTTGAACTTTTCCCTAAAGGTTGCCTGAGATTCCTTCATGCTTTTCTTCAGGGTTAAGTCTCTTATCGCAAATGTTACGTAAGCTCTAAAATCTCCCACAGGCTAGGGAACTTGATAGTATATTATCCACTGCCTCTTAACAAGGACACATCTGACATCCAGTGTTTGGTTGGAATAAGCAGCACATTGTAATGACAACACAGATAATGGATTCATCTTGTACAATTATAGGTGGAAGGTATTGGGCAAAATTTTATATATTGTTTATGTACTGTACAAGTAACTTATTCTTGAATAATGGAAATTTTGCTATAATGTACAAATTGCTACATGTGAATTAAAAAAAATGTTTTCACAATCCTGACTTATTGCCACCATATTTAAAGGCGCTGTCTATTACGACTACGGTCTCTGCAAAATCCTTGCCCTGCTTAAATACTTGCTTTCCCTTTGTCCTCCTCCCACAAACTGGGGACATAACAAATGCTTATGAGTCTACAGCAATAAGGGGCTTTGTACATCGCTGCACCTTTTCAGCTTTTCTGCCCTCTGGATTTTTTATCACCGTTTTAAGAAAAGTGTCTCCTGCCCCCTACTGGTAAAACAGACAGGTGTCTGAAGCAGGACAACTCTGACTAACACTCATTTAGGTTCAGGAGATATTAAAAAGGAAGCTTACAGAATCAGCGTCAGGCTGAGGATGTGGAATTTCAGTGCTGCCCAACTCTGGCCAGCCTTCCTCCTTCTGAAGCAGACCTCTATCCACCAAAGAGAATATTTCAGGCTTGTCTTTTTCTAGAGATACCTTGAACCAGAACTGAAGGTGAAGAAGAAAAATCATTTGACAGCTAACCTTCCAGGATATTAGGAAAGCACACTCAGCCCTCCTGCCTTGATATTACAATCCTATTATAGAAATAGCTTATACAAACACACACTAACTTGATATCAGTTTTTAAAACTTTTTTTATTTTTTAATTTTTTTTAAGTTTTTATTTTATATTATCTACAAAGTAAAAGTTTTTCCCTTAACTTAAAAGTTGAACCACTGTAGACAGTGATCACTTCATCAAACTTGATTTATAAATAATAATCCGTCAGTTTGACGGTAAGAATTTACTGAACCTTTGTCAAGTTTAGTAAAAGGGCGTTCCAAGTCTTGATTTTTTTTTTAAGCGGTAATAGCAGCAAGAATCACTCTTGTTACTTCTTTTGCTAGCTGATGTGTTCATGACTTTCGAGGGTCATTAAAAAATAAATAACTTCCAGTTTCGGCAAGCAGAGCTGGGGTACTTGCGGGACTCTGCAACAGCGTATGGAATTATGGAACAGCCCACAAGTTCCTAAATGCCTCTACTCGGTCCAAATATCTTCCACTGCAAGTGAACTGTTAGCATTCCTATTGGATGTTACAAGAAATCAACATATATTTTTTTAAAAACAAAATAAATGAAATTCTAGTTTTCTGTGCTTCCAGTTGGTAGAAGCAGTAGAAGGGAGGAGGGAATTTGGCCTTTCGGTTCCTCCAGGGCAGCCTTACAACTGCTGTTGGTGATGGGCTTGTACTGTAAAAAAGAAAAGTGAATATTTAAACAGAAAACTGGCAACACTGCACATTAGCCTAGTGTCTTTGCAGCACGTGACTGTAACCTATCCTTGTGCTAGCTGAACAAGACTCAGAATTTAATTCACTCTTTCCCCCTCCCATCTGCACCAAAAGGGGGGAGGGTAGGTGGGTAGGTAGAAACACACCAGTCAGACGTAAAACCACTTCAGATAAAACTCCCAGAAGACTTGTTGCTCATGGGGTAGAGAAAAAGGCCTTAACATACCCCCTCCCCAAATATTAGCCAAGCACCAGTACTGCTTTCAGAGTAACAGGTCAGACTATGAAATGTCGCCATGGCAGCCATCAAGTGTTAGAGCGCAATCACGGGCATTCTCTCCCTGCCAGGGTATAGGCTGGAGCTAAGACTACCCTTGAACCGATCCATACACAGCACTCTCTCATCAGTAGTGTTCTCCAGAGCTACAATCAAACTCTGCCATGGTGGTAACCCCCCCACATGTCAGACTGTTGGGACTCAGGAAGGAAAACGCTGCCCTGTCCAGCCTATCATAACAAGGAAGGCCAACTGAGTCCTAAGCATGCATCAGCGACACAGAATGCTGCTGCTGCTTCTCATCAAGCCAAATCCTGTATACCATCAGAACACGCAGCACAGACTCGGCTCCCGCTGGAAGCCTCAGGCCCTGACACTGAACTGATCGTCACAGTCCCTACTGTGCCACTCTGACGAGTCTTGCTAGTTCTCAAATGCGGGGCTTGAAGCGCTGGCCCTGCCTGCCACTTGACCTGTGCGAGCAGAATGCTTTGGGGTGCCCGGCGGCCCCTGCACACACACGCCTCACCTGAAGGGTGCGTCATATAGGGGAAATGCGCTGTTGTCGAGACTGGAATGGGCTGTAGTGCACTTTGAGCGAGGGCGGCCTGGGGACCGCCGGGTGGCTGTGTCGTCATTAGCATCATTGGCGCATGGGCAGTTGGATGAGAAGGAACCATTCCTGACTGTACATGAGCCTGAAACAGAGAGCTCTTTTACGCATACAGGCAACATCTCCAGCTTAAACAACATGTCAACTGTGTTCCTTTTATTGGGCTCGGGCTCTCAGGAAAGGGCAACAGTCTTTCTCTGGGGATACTCCCTAGTGGATCATCCATTGACCTACAGACATGCTTCACCTGGGTAAAAGTCAGGGCTGCAGTGTCCTAGCCTTAAACATTTCTGATCACTGGCTTCTATCTATGGGGGAGGGTCTTCACAAAGATGAGACCCTTGGTCCAAGGGCAGCTTTCTCAACTTAATAGGAGGCAATATGCAATGATGTTTCAGAATCTGGCTTCCATGTGGGGCCTAAAGTAGTTTAACAGATAACATCCCTTTCAAATAGGAAAGCAAATTATTACATTATAACCAGAGACTGTCAAATTCTGCTCTATGGATCACTTAGCATTCTCCTCGTTTGCCCGTCCCCCTGTGCTTCTTGCCTGCTCACCAGCACTTGAGTGAAGAATGAGCCAGGGCAGTGAGAGAAGAGACTCTCAGGCCCCCTTTACTCTGCTTAAAGATATGCTGATGGAGCAGGAGGAGGAGGAGGTTGCAGTTAATGGCTCCAGTGAGATGGGAGGGGTAATCTGAAATTATCTGAGCCAGCCCAGTGTCCCTGTACCAAGTGAGAGTGAGTTCAACCTGGTCTCACTGTCGAGTTGGAAAGGTTTTAGTCAGCCCAAATAGCTGGATCCCAGCTCTGCAGGGATATGGCAGGGCTAGGAAGAGCCTTCGTTCCCTGCCTCCCATGCTGTGCACTGTTCTAGACCACCATAAGCCTTAAATGAACCGCTGTTTTTACTCTCTTGTATATTCAAATGGGCCCATGGCATACCTGGGCTTCCTTATAAATATTAACCTTTTTGCTCTTTTAGCACAAAAACACAAAAGTGAGGTCTTAGAAACCCCAACTTACATGTAAATTCACATACCTCTCCTTAGCCACCAGCCTCTACTAGACATCTACAGGACCCCAGCTCTCATGAAGCTCCTGATTCAGCCAAACCATGCTGGCCCACATCTGACCAAACCAGCTGCCCTCCCCACCATCCAAAGCAAATCATCCACTGCAGTGCACCACACTACAGAACCTACACTTCTGCAGGGGAGGACACCCAAACTTCCCAGAGCTGTGGAACCAATTACAAGGTCGCCTTCTGAAAGTTAGCTCCAACTGAGCGGCCTCTCTAGCCCCTGCCACGCCCCAGCCTCAGGGGCGCAACTGTTTGACACGAAATGCAGTTCAATGAGGCAGTCTAGCTTAGACCCGCCTAAGAGTTCTGTGATAAAGGCAGCAAAAAGAGACATGGAATACAGCCGATTCACCCCTAACAGCTCCAGGGAGGGCATCAAGGACAGTGTTAGAGCCCAGCTGCAGTGCAGCTCCTTCTCCTCATTAAGACAATCCAACTTGGCCCTGGATTGCACTGGACTTCTGTCAGCAGCTGATGCCGACAGCAACCACACCTCTCAACCTTTAGAAGCTTACACTGGAGGTGAGCTCCAAAGTGCTTCCAAGGCTGCTCTTTAAGAAAAACGGGAACACCTGGGTGCATCCAGCTTCTACTTACACTGTAACAATGTACAAGGCCAAGCCCTTTCAAGAAGTACAGCATAGGGTCAAAGCGGATGTATGGATAGCCAGGAAAAACAAGTGGAGAGATTTCCTGTCACTAACATTCAAGCTGACAGGCCCAGAGGGTAGTCACCTCAGAGAGCTAAGAATCTGTGAAGGCCCACCCTCCCTGCAAGACTTCTTCCATGTGTGCGTGTGTGTGTGTGCGTGTGTGTGTGTGAGAGAGAGAGAGAGAGAGAGAAAGAAAGAATATATATATGTATACATATATATAGCAATGAAGCTATATAAACATAGCAAAGCAGACACAGAAAGGTGAAGGACTGAGAGGCATTCCAGAGTCCAAGATATTTTTAAGGCCTCAGCTGGGCAATGTTCAAGGACTGACCAATCAGCAACTTCACTGATCCCATTACAAAACCACACAAACATTCCTTTAGGGCCAGATCACATGTATTTGAGTGGGAAAAGGGAGACAGGCAAATGGCATCACACACAGGGTTTTCTAGCTTGGAGAGCGTCTAGCTCTTTGCTGCTTATCTGATAACCTTCATATTCTACTTGGTCTTCACAGAAAGCTGGCTAAAGCTGGTTTACCTGAGGTACATGGGCCATGTGGGGTGGATTGGTGTATGCCGGCTGAACATGAGAAGGATGAATCGTAAAGACGGTCTGTTGTGCTGTTGGGAAACTATTTTGTGGCGATTGCGTATTGGAGGCAGGTGTCATGGAAGGTGGGGTTGGTGCGAGCCCCGCGTGGTAAATGGCTGACTGCTGCTGTGGACTGGCCAGATGGAGAGCCTGGGCAGCCTGGTGCTGATGGTGCTGCAAAGCAACAGGAAAGAACTGAGAAAAAACTTCTTTAATGAAAAGCAGTTAAGGGTCACACACAAAGCTGAACTCTGCACATGAAAACAGGCTCTACCTGGGCCCATCTAAGATGAGGGGCAATGCTAAGTACAAGAGAATGCCACAGGGTGGTAAGAACAGGGCTGGGGGGGCCTCCTGTTCAAAGACATTCCTTTCTGGAGTGCAAGCCAGATTCTCAGCCTGGCAAGTTACCAGCCCTCAGCCAAGCAGTGGTAAAACAAGTCTACTGCCCCAGGAGGGGAGGGGAGGGGGAGGGGAGGAGGGAGGTATTCACAGATTGGGTCAAAGAGATTCTTAAATGCCTCTCTGTTAACAAACATGATTAAAGACGCTAATAGGAAAAAACTCATCGTATAAACATTAGGAATGAAAAAAAAAAGTCGCCCCATGCAAATTCCTTACTTTATGTTAAATTAGATTTTTCAATATTGATAAATTTCTAGAATTTATCCAATCACCTTATTCTCAATATGTATCAATGTGACTTAAAAACCAACCAACCAACCCCAGAGGCACAGCCTGCAGGACTGTATGCTGGCTCCATGAGGCAGGGCTGCTAGGTGTTTTGATCATGTGGTACCTAGCACCCTGCCTGGCACTGGAAAAAACGCTCCTTAACAGAATGAGAAAGCAGTTCTGTGAAGGCCTCTCAGTTTCTCCTTACCTGAACAGGACTGGGTGCAGGATGGCTCCCACCATGTTGGCTTTGCTGCTGTCCGGTGGGGGTAGCTGAAGGCTGAGGATGTGGAGTATGTGGGTGTAGGGTAGCATTAGGGTGTGCATACTGCTGAGCAAGGGAGCCAGTGGAAACTAAAGTGAAAAAAAAAGTAGTGTGTAGAATCGACAGGTGTCATGATCTTAATTGCTCTTCTATGCCTCCTCAACTGAACTTTCTTGATGCTCAATGCCTAACTTATGCTGTTACCAATCTCTATTTTGGTATTTGACTCCATTTAAACCATCCATTTTCTTGAAAAAATAAGTGTGAAGTTATTGCTTAACAATCAGACTAGCATTTTATTCATACAACACAGCTGTATACACTATATTGAAATTTAATTAAATTTATTCTTAAAACAGTCACCAGGTTTTCCTGAAAAGGCAACTTAACAACATAGGCAGAAGCAATTCAAACAATCTTTCTCTCTTCCTCTCTCTCTCACAGACACACACACACACACACACACTTTAGCTCAAGGCCATCATCTGGCTAACCTCACCATGCTACTGCCCTGGAGCTGGGGCAGTGACCCATGGGCACAGATTATATAGGGGCTGGCGGAAGGGGCTGGATAAGGTATGTGGCAAAGCCAGGGCTCTATCTTCAGTGCCAAATGACCACAATCTCTCTCAGCTGAACACAGAAGCCACTCTGCCACTCAGTTTGTTCCCTGGGCCCTCCCTGCTCAAGGCACTTTCACCTGCGCCTTGTAAAATTTAGTACATGGAGTTACCTAAACTATGTAGAAAAATGAACTCCCTTCAAAGTATCCCAGCCTTTAGAAAGAATTTTACTACAGTAACTTCAAAGGAAATATGATGGGCCAGTTTAAGTAAAAACGTGTTCATTAAAGATAAGAACCCAAAGCCAATTTTGTGAATCTCAGCACAGACCATACCTTGGTACAAAACGGGGCGATAGGTATAAACTCAGTTGTTCATGTCTTCCCCAAATAGCAATTTGAGAATCAAAAGCACAGTAAGATGGGGTCATTGCTCCAGTGACTATTGATAGCACTGATACAAATCTAACCACGATGTGGCAAAGAGCTGAGGACAGTGTTCTAAAGACACTTCTCTAGCAACGTGTGACTTCCAACCTTCTTGCCAACTAATCCTAAAATCCCTGAGAAGCTAAGCCCATACACAGAAACAATTCCAAAATAGTTCCTCGTGTTCTTCATGTGATGTGTTAGCAGATACAGACACATAGGGAACGAATGGAAAGCAAGCACTGCTTTGGGATCAGGCACCCCAACTCCAGCAGTCTGATAGGCAAGGCTGCCAAGAGTCACCGGCAGAGAAGACTCTGGGTATGTCCCATGTAAATGTTACGCAGAGGGTTAGGCACACGAAGCAATTCTGTAATGCTTGACATTGTAGGGCCAAGGGCCACCAACACTCCAGCCCAACTGGTTATCTCCCCAACTACAGATGTATCTTTTAAGGGCGAGGCAAAGAGCCAGTGCTAGGATCACCTGTGCATCCACTGCCAACGCCATAGTGGGCATTAACATTCGTTAATACCCAGATTAGATGGAACAAAGCACTTTTGTTTATACACTGGGAATTTCCTAACTAGAAGAGTTAACATACACTGGAACATATTAACAAGGAAAACTGGGGCAACATATTCTCTGGGTGTTTTTCAGAAGAGTCAGTGACTGTTTTTTGGGAGCTGGGAAAAATAATGTGCTTACTTTCCTGAGCTCCACAACAGTACCCCATGAGTCCATGAAAGTAGTCAATGTCTTCCTTCTAATTCACTGGCTTATTAAAAGGCCATTCTTCACCATCATACTCATTAAGTTAACTTTCAGATTCCCCCAAAACTGTCTAGGCACTGATTGGGTCGAAAAGACTTGACATAAATTTTGAATCTGACTTTATTCTTGTGAAAATCTTACACTTATTTTCAAATTTATTTTTAAATAATTAAAATAGCCACATGTAGCTAGTGGCTACTGATTAGACAGCACAATTTGTACCACATTTCCATCATCACAGAAAGTTCTATGGGACAGTGAAATCTAGAGTCATTCACACTCCCTTATTTTCACACAATCAGCCTTAAAAGTCCTCCCTACCTCCAAGCTTCTTAAATGTTTCATTTGTAACAATATTAAATCTATTTGGGGGAAAGCAATTTCCAAATCCCAAATTCTATTTATGCGGTTTCATGAAGACACAATACAGAATCTCAAGAGTTTCTATTTATTTTTTAAACTTTATTTAAGAAATTTTTGTACTCAAAAGTTTTAAATTTCACTTTTACCATCTAAGCAAAATATTAAGAAAATAAAAAGTAACAATAAATAAAAAATATACTCTAGCTGGGTGCTATATTAATTTTCACACATCAAAACATGGCCATGATAAAGAGAATTATACCCATGGAGTCTCTTAATGAAGTTATTCATCAATTAGAAAAATGTTAAAATCTTGAAATCTGGAGAAAATTAAAGATGAAATATTTCTTATTATGCAAAAGGCATCTCTGTGATAGTACTTTACCAATATTGAAAAGCTATAAAATACTCTAATCTATATCTCATTTGCATTCATAGCACAAATACTTCAAATAATCCAAGATGAGTGCATCTATATAGGCTCTGTTTAAAAAACCCATCCTTTTCCTACCTAAACATCAGTAAACTACAATGCATTATAAGAAAAATCAAGCAGATATAAATGTACACCACAAGCTGCAAATAAAATTCAAGGAGGTTTAATTAGAAATATTTTCCTTTGTTCATCTTCTTGCTTAAAAGATATTTGCTAAGCAAGTACCTTATCTAGGAACTCTTGTTCCCCCCTCAAATATGAAAACTGAGCAGCTAATTGGGAAAAATGTGAAATTCAACACTAATTCAGTACTAATAATGAAAATATAGTTTGGTTCCTTGAAAGGCCGGTTAAGAATGAGACAAAGAAAGGTGAGATGAGAGGAAAATTAAAATGCTGAGGGGGAAAAAAAGGTTGGAAGGGAAGAGAGAGATAAGAAAAAGGAACCAAAATAGAAAAAATATAAGAGAATCAGGGAAACGGAGAGGTGGAGAGCCAAGGGCAGTACGTTCTGGGCTCTACTGAGCTATGTGTATCACTTAACTGCTTTAATTATACATGCTCATTAATTTAGCTAAAGATTCCGGAGAGGTTAAAAATAAAGTGAATTTTCTTCAAAATTCTGATTTAGCTATTCCATCAGTTAAACTTCTATCGATAAAACTTAAGTTGCCTTCATGAAACTTGAATTAGGTCAAGCTAATCAAAGAAGTATTGCTTTTCCTAGCCAGACCTAGTTTAGAAGATTCCCCACTCACTGTGCTCCTTGGTATAAATGCTTAAAACTCTAAATATACGATTTGTCAAATCCTCATAACACTAACCACATTCCACAAAGAGTTTCCTAAGCCATGATCTTACAGAAGCCCAGTCAGTCCATAAGGTTGTGTGTTTAACTTGTAACTAGGTTTTGTTGTTTTGACCTTGGATGCACAAGTCCTGAGAGATCACCAGCACTGCAAATCTTTAAAAAAATGAAACAAAACAAAATCTTCCAACTTGTAAATTTGATGTTAAATTCAGAAAAAAGGAAGTGAAGGGAAGTTGAAAACTCTTTAAAAGGGGAGTAAAAGGCAACTAGACCAAATCATGACAAAATGGCTTGGGGGTGGGGTGGGGTACAAAGCAGCACATTAAATTACAAATAGCAGCCCCACTGTTAGTTTCTTTTAAAAAATACTGATATTCCCTTTTAGGGGAAGTTGTCCTAAGGCAGTTAATGCTTAGGTGTGATGATTAAGGACCTTTTAGCTACTTAGCAGGAAACTGATTCCAAAATTACTAACAGAGACAGTAAGATGGTGAGGATAACTACATTTGAGACCTCAAATTGAGTACATAATAAAATTAATTACTGATGCTGTCTTTTACATACTATATCACATACATAGTTTCCCTTTAATAGTATATATATATATACAGCAAGACTCCTTTTTAAAGAGCATCTATTAAAGGATTAAATTTGTTAACATTTCCTAGCACCAAATAAATAATATGTACACACTTATTTTTGGATACCAAGTCATGGCACAATTAATGAAAATTTAAGTCAAAATGTTTTCTAAATGCTTTTTAAAATCTGGCATTTAGTAGATTCAGACATTGAGTCATTCTAAACTAATTCAAAATTTAGTCTCTAACATAAAATTTCAATCCTTAATATCCCTTAGAATATAGTATTTCACATAAAGTGACACATACTACTGGCATAAATTTCCAAAGGATTTCTGCAAGTTAGTACCTTTCCTATCCAAGTACCAAAAGTCCATGACTAGCCTTATTTAAAAATTGCCCTACCAATAGAGAAAACACACCTTACCAGTTCATTTCCAAAAGAAAGCCCTGCCCAGACTTGCTCCATTTAGGAGCAACCACGTACCTTTTCACTAGTGGTGAGAGGGGCCGGCATTGCCAAAGACAGTCTCGGGTAGAAATTGGGCTGCTCGGTCATGCTTTCCCGCTTAAGCTCAGGACATCCTGAGGTGTCCGCTACCTGAGTATTTTAAACCTCCAGTCATGCAAAGACTGAAAAGACAGAAATGTTCCTCCCATAGTATTTCAACCTATTCCATTAAAAAATCCTTGTAAGGATAAATTTCTTCTTCACAGGACACTAAAAAACTAACGTTTTAAGTTCTTGTTACTAAGCTTGTGGCTTGGTTTAAAAAAAAAAAAAAACTGTTCAGGAAAAGTTTCTCTGAACAATGAAAATATTAGGCATTTCCAAAACAGTCACATGTTTGCTTGGTATGCAAAAATTAATTTCTGAAACAACTCAACTTTTTATTAACTCCAGCTTTCTTAAAGCTGGGTCATATTTCCTTTTTTAAAACTCTCAATTGTTTACCGATATACATATTTTTAATGATTTTGTCTGGCACAAGGAAAATATTGCTCAACAAGTCTATTCCCTTAACACGTATTCTTTAAAAAGTGTTTTACTGTTCAATTAAAATTAGTATAAAAAACCCAACTCACTGGCAAAGTAGAAAGAAGGGCTTGTCTCCTTGTTGTATGGTAATTTGGGACATGCTGAATTTGGGAAATAGAAAGGTAAATTAGCCTTTTAAGGTGTGCATTTTCCTAATTTTCTGGAAAGGTTGACATATTTAGTAATTTCTTTTTGTATTCATGCATAATTCATTTTTCTTATTTTACAAGAGATGACAGGCACTTGAAACACTGCTATAAAATTAAGTAAGATAGGGCTGAATCAAAAGACATTTTTCTTCTGTATTGGAGTGTCAAGTTCCACATGCCGACTCGCTTAAATGGAAGAAATAAAATTATTATCTAATAAAAAACCAACATGGCATTCCATCGAACAACTGATGTAAACAATATACCAAAATAAATGAATATTTACCAAGTTTAATTCAAAAGACTCAATTTTGCAAATCATTATTAATAAAAATGTCATTATTCTGCAAGATGCTTATTGGGCATCTGGTAGTGGATCCAAAAGTTTAGAAGCATAATATTAGTAATATTAAACATGGTTATGATATTATTTCTTGTTAAAACGTCTACATAAAGAGGTGTGTGTGTGTGTGTGTGTGTGTGTGTGTGTGTGTGTATTTAAGTATACTTGAAAAGGATATGCACCAAAATGTTAACAGCTGGAAGGATAAGAGGTGCATTTTAAATCTTTTTGCCTACTTTATTGTCCAGTTTATCTGTGTTCAAATACCAAAAAACAAACCAAAAAAGGATTCTGGATCTAACTCTTCTTGATGGCTTTAGTTAGAAGAGAAAGTTTCATTATTACTATTTCTGAAAGGGAAAACAACACTGCCATAAAACAAAATTAGATGAATTACAAGACTAGATGGTAAGCAAACAAAAAGTAACTTCTTAGGAGGGAGGGAGCAGAGGCAATGATAAAAGTTAGACTAAGGTTAAAGAGACGAAGTTTGTGATCAAAGTCCTCTCTAAGATAGCTAGAAAGAAAACAAGGTCAACAACAACTTAGAATATACATATACATCTCCTAATACTTTAACTGTTCAGTAATCTGTTAGCATATTTATATTAAATATACCAACAATTTAAAAACCATAATCAGTCTTTCATTTTGCAGTCATTAATGATCCTTTTTATTCTCAAAGCCTTTTGCTACAGCCATAATAATTAGCGAATGGCAAAAAGGTAACATATAATTGTCACCAACATCTGGGTGCATATTCTTTTGTTTGTATAAAAAGTTTAAAAAATCTAGATAGGGCGTAGCTTAAAAATAAACATAATTCATACTCAAAATATTTGGTTCCTTTGGGAATATAAAATATAAATTGTTGGAAATTATTATAAAATTAGCATTTCCATGCAACAGTTTTGTCTTAGTTTAAAATAATGTACTTAAAATGTGCCTATATTTGGCATAATTAGGATTTGGAAGATCTAAAATAATTGAAATAAATTACTGAAGAATTAATAAACTTGCTTTAGCAGATAAATTATGGCTTATGATGGCAAAGAACAAAATAATTCATCATTTCCTAATGTTCTTTTTAGGGTATGAAATATCCAAAAGAGAACCTTGGTTAACCAGCAACAATCATACCAAGTCCACAGCCTTGCTCCTAGCCTGCCCTCATCAACAGACATCAATTAAACACAACCTGTGTAAATTATAGGAGAGTAGTTCAGATTTGGTTGAGCAACTTTCTCCTGGCATTAAAGAACTGGTTCTGATGACTAGTCCATTCCAGATTTCACTGGACATTAGTCCAATGTTTTGTTTTGTTTGCAATATTTCCTATTTACCCACACTTAAATGGACTTCAGGGCCCAAGGCCAACTGCTTTTCAAATGGAAATGTTCTGGGACGGTAGTTATAAAAACCATTAGAGCCTCAAATACAGTATTTACTGTACAGGCTGTTTCAAACCAATGAACACCCAACCAAAAGACAAAGCCAGATGTTGGCAGTGTGTGAACACATTGAAGAGCAAGATTCTGCTCAACATCACAATATTACTACACTGTCTCAAAAGCATGGGTACATAAATAGCAATTGCCTAAAAGCAATGGAAATTTTAGCTCTAAAGTTTCAGATCTTATTCCAAGGGGAATATGCCAGAAAATGGAGGAAAGAAATGTTTTTTCCACTTGTTAAATCATGATGTATTCTCCAGAAATGTATAAACAATCATAAAGAACTTTTCACCTAAACCTTTAGCAAATTGGAAAATTGTTGAAATGTATACAAACTGCATAAAAGCCAGTGTGATAAATCAAAGATGCCTTTTCATACATACTTAGTCCTGGTTAAAACAACTAAAGACAAGCCTATGACAGGGGATCATAACCAAAATCATAAGCCAAATCAGTCTGTCAGTATAGTTTTCACTTAGATTATGGCTGGGCTTCTTGAAAGAAATGTTTTCCAAAATGTATCAATTACATCATTTTTATGTAAATGCTAATCCACAATAGAAAGTTTTAAGTAATAATGTGGAAAATTAAGATCAGACTTAAGTATTTTATAAAAATAATGCCTTTAATCACGTAAAATTCCTATCACTAGTGAATCTGTGTGCAAGGAGCATGCCTCCAGGAAGAACGCCTAAGTGGTGGGTTATGGGTGACAAGAAGGATGATTGCTGCTGCCTGAGTTCTACTCCTGTTAACCTACAACATGTTATACGCTGTTATCTAAAGTTAAAAAAATGAAAATCTTTACATTCTTAGTCATTCAACAAGTTTAAAGAGGTTTAAAAAATGAAATGTTCATGTAGTTACATGTAATTGTAATTTCATTCTTATAGTGGTATACTTTTCAATTGTCTGAATAAACTTGAATTTCTCTCCTCCCATTCCAAAAAGCTGAAATGCCAATGGGAAAACCTAAGTGACAGTATAGGAGTTCTCAGAAAAGTTCAAAACAAAACTTACATCTTAATGAAACTGGTACTAATTAAAGGTGCATTCTGAAAAACTATCATAATATGGGACAAAGCCATTCATTCGATATTACAAGATATAAGTGGAAATCTTATTTTAAGTTCTCAACATTGAAAACCAGATTATTTTAGTACTTTAGACAGCTGCTAAGTTGACCTGTACAAAGTTCTCTGGCCACAAAACTAAGATGGTAATTTTTGATTATTGTTCTCACATACATTGTTTAATTTTATATAGACTACTTCTCATTTTCGTTTTACCATTGTTTGTATTGATTCAAGTGTGAATCATGTCTAAAGCAGATCTAATATTACACACTTTTGACCACTTAAAATACAGCATAATGCAGAAACACAGTAGCATTACAACAAATAGCAAGAAATATATGTAATGCCAGTGACCCCCAGAGCAAGGAGTGAAGCAGAATGTTTTCTTGCCGGAGAGTGCTTTCATTATGGCAAAACTTTATTGTGTACCTCAGGCAGGGCATACCAAATAATAATACTGATAAGGAAGAGGAGGAAGATACCTTTCTCCACAAAAGATGCTTTCTGTTACACACATCACTACATTTTAGTTAAAGTAAGGAGAAACATTTGAAGACAGAGGAATTTCAGGAACAAAAGTAGGAATAATTTGCCAAGACTCATAACAAGTCAGAGATAGAAATGCATTCATCTTTTCTTTAGATTCTTGACCCTCAATGTCATAAAAGGCCAAGTTATTCTTAAACAGAGTACCTTTTCAGAGCTTTAAAACAAATGAAGAATAGTCACACACACTGAAAAAGACAAACAAAGTGCCTCCTACCATACATCGCATGCGTCTGCTCATGAGCCCCGTACTGAGTTGCAGAAGAAGATACTAAACCAGGCTGGGCATGTGCTGGTGGTGCCATCATTCTAGCATTACCCTGTATTACAGGACTATAGACATGAGGATGCTGTGTTCAAACAAAAAATAAAGAAAAAATATTAAAATATCAAATAGAGTCATGCAGATTTTAGTTAGATGTCTTAACTCCATGGTTTCCACATTTCCAGAAACGACTCTAAAAATTCTAAAACTTTTCTTATTGATTTCCTTTGAAACACTTACACTAATCAGCAATCTTCTAATACATATTAAAAAGGCTCCCCAAACCCTTAGCTATCTACCTTACCATAACACAAAGAACAAAATATAAAGGAAAACCCCTTTACCATATTAAAAGGTAAAATTAGGTTATTTAAAGGGAACAAAAATTAAGAGTTAGGTCATATCAACCTTACAGCCTTACCTGAGATTGATAATGTGGCACATGCTGAACAAGAGGCTGATTTGGAAACTGCTGAGGACTGTAGGCAACGTATTGTGTGGAGTAAGCTGGTGGGGTGGCCACAATTGGTGGGCCTGCTGCTGAGGCTGGGTGCATCATGGTGCTCTGATGATGCTGGTCTTGCCGCTGTTGGGGCATATTTGGTACTGCAGAAAAAGATGACCTAGTATTAGAAAACAGCATCTCCTCAGCATAAATACATGAACATGGTCCACAAGGCTCTACATGATTTGACCCTCCTGCCTGCCTCCAATGCCATGTTAGACCACCCTCACCACCACACTTCAGCCACTCTGGGCTGTTTTCCTATCACACATGCTATTCCTCAACCTCAAACACTGATCCCCAACCCCCTGTTTGGATAATTCTGACTTGTCCAGGTGTCAGCTTGAAAGAAACTTCCTCCGAGACTCTCTACGATGACCCCCATGCTTGATCAGGTCCCTGTAATAGACTCTTACAGCACTACGAAACAACGTTCCCTTCATACTACTTCTCAGATAATCCCTGTTTGATACACCAAATTATGCCACTTGCTAGAGAAGGGCATTGGATTTATTCAAAGAAAAACAAAAATACAACAAAAAACCAAAACAGACCCAACGCTAATCTTAACTCCATCTTTCTTAATTTCCCACCACTGAATTCTTACACAACTTCTTGCTCTTTCTTAAACACAGCAGGTTTCTAAATAATAGCTCTTTTAAAAATTACTTTTATTATTTCACACAGATTTCTGCCTATAGTCCTCCCCCTCTAAAAGCTCTAGTTAAGAATTTAGCTCAACTGTCATCCTCTCTGTAATGTCTTGCCCAGCTCCCCCACAAAAGAGCTAGCTGCATGCTCTGTGTAGTTTTCCTCATGTGTCTTTATGGCATTGACTGTTGTCTGTGAGGGGTTTATAGTGTGATGTTAATCAATCCACATGAGGGAATCATGAACCACAGCTTACAAGGTATGAAGCACAAAAATGTATAACTTGGTAGGTTCATAAAATCATCAGCAATGATTATATAAGTAACTGCTAATTTACAGACAGAATTTGGTTTTTATTTTAAATGTTTGAGATTTTTTGCTAAAAATTTAATGACTGTTGCTGAAATTTAGGAGAGCTAGATATCTACTGTTTTATTTGTTTAGAAAAGCAAGCTAGAAAACAGAAGAAACCAACACAGTAATATTTTTCTGAATTTAATTTCGAGATTCTACATATTGAAAAAGCATCTCCTTTTAGTAAAGAAAAGCCACCTCAAACTCAAATATAATTTTGATCAAATGAAAGTTTGTTTAATTAAGCTTACTAACTGAGCTTAACCTATTCACCCTCACTATTTTTTCTGACACTTGATTATGACCCTTACATATAAAAATTTTTAAAAGCTAGTCAAGTTTATTGTCTTTTTTAAAATTAAAAATTCTAGTTACAAAAACATAATGCTTGAATACAATCTTAAAAGACAAAAAATTCAACAATACAAAACAAAATTCCCCTTTCCAACTATTTGCATACCATTCTCTTCCCCAAAGAGCAACGACTGTATGTAGCCTTTTGGATCATCTTCTGTGCATATGCACATATGCATATGTATGTATACAGAGATACACTTGGTTTTATGGTGGTTTTTTTTTTTCCTCCTAATATGAATCTACCTTAAGTTAAAGTACAATTTAGAGAGATGATACTTTAGCCATGTCCTTATGTCAGTGGTTTTCAACTGAGAGCAATTTTGCCTTTCAAGGGATATGTGGCAATGTCTGGAGACATTTTTAGTTGTCACAGTGGGGGGATGGGGAAGTCACTATTAGCATCTAAAGTGTAGGGGCAGGGATGCTAATAAATATCCTACAGTACACAGGATACCCCTCCTCCCCCACACAAAGAACATCTGTCCCCAAATGTCAATAATGCTAAGCCTAAGAAATTCTACTTTACGTTAATCAAGTCCTTGACTTGGGCATATTTTCAAACACAACTCAATTTTTCTCACAGGTTGCAAAAAAGGTAATACTGCATTATGTACCAAGAAGACAAAAGAGGTGGTTTTGTGCAAAGGCCCCATTATCATGCAGGAAAGATATGCTTATACAACCCATGCCTGCATTTCAGAAGCAAGTACTTGACTTCACCTGTTATCTGACAGAGTAAAGTAGCAGGATATAAAATTAACATCAAGACAGCAACAGTCTTCATATATAGTACTTCGTAAACTTACTTCATAAGCAACTACTCAGAAATTGCAATGGAAAAGATGACCCTGGTTTATATTAACAATAAAAAAAATATATATCCAGGAGCTGGTCCCACGCCTAGTGGTTAAGTTCTTGTGCTCCACTTCGGCGGCCTGGGTTTGGTTCCTGGGGGTGGACCTACACCACACGTCGGTGGCCACGCTGTAGCGGCAACCCACATACAAAACAGAGGAAGAAGACAGGGCCGGCCCCATGGCTTAGCGGTTAAGTGCGCGCGCTCCACTACTGGCGGCCCGGGTTCAGATCCCAGGCGCGCACCAACACACCGCTTCTCCGGTCATGCTGAGGCCACGTCCCACATACAGCAACTAGAAGGATGTGCAGCTATGACATACAACTATCTACTGGGGCTTTGGGGGAAAAATAAATAAATAAAAAATTAAAAAAAAAAAAAAAACAGAGGAAGACTGAAGCAGATGTTAGCTCAGGGTGAATCTTCCTCAAGCAAAAAGAGGAAGATGGGCAACGGATGTTAGCTCAGGGCAAATCTTCCTCAGCACAAAAAAAAAAAAAAAAAAAAAATGAAGGCATAAACTGAACAAACACACAAAACCTTTAAGAGAAACTTAAAACTACTACTGAATATACAAAAGCAGATTTAAACAAGCAGAAAAGCATAATGTGTTTTTGGATAGGAAGACTCAATATAAAGATAGCAATTCTCCCCTAAGTTAATTGATAAATTATAAGTTTATAAATTTAATGTGATTCTAATAAAAATGCTGACTGGAAAACTGAATGTCAAAATTCATGAGTTCATACTGATAAAACAACAACAAAAAACCCTCATTGGTCAACCTTTAGAGGATAATAGGAAACCAACTGATTATTTTGAGAACTGCCTTGAAATGATGGGCATTTTAGTTGTCTTTCTTGCACAAACTACCTCACAGAAACCAAATAGTTTGACAAGGTAAAATTTGTCTTTGTATAAATATTTTCTTTGTATAAATATTCCCCCTAATAAGTGAAGAAGGGATGTGATAGAAAATGTCATCATTTTGCAACTCTTAATGAAATAATGGATCTAGGGCTAGACAATGATCATCAATGGCTGCTAAAACAGAGAAAAGCTGGTAGGACATTTTATCCTGGATAGATAAGGTGGCCAAATTACTTCTACTATCACAAAAAAGAAAGATGACAAGGGGCCGGCCCGGTGGCGCAAGCGGTTAAGTGCGCGCGCTCCGCTACGGCGGCCCGGGGTTCGCTGGTTCGGATCCCGGGCGCGCACTGACGCACTGCTTGGCAAGCCATGCTGTGGCGGCGTCCCATATAAAGTGGAGGAAGATGGGCACAGATGTTAGCCCAGGGCCGTCTTCCTCAGCAAAAAAAGAGGAAGATTGGAGGAGGATTGGCGGATGTTAGCACAGGGCTGATCTCCTCACAAAAAAAAAAAAAAAAAAGAAAGATGACATTATATGACACCTAGTGAAAGTACACACACCATCTATGAAACATTCCAGATTAAGAAAAATACAACCTATGGGCCGGCTCCGTGGCTTAGCGGTTAAGTGCGTGCGCTCTGATGCTGGCGGCCCGGGTTCGGATCCCGGGAGCGCCCCGAGGCACCACTTCTCCGTCCAACGCGAGGCCGAGTCCCACGTACAGCAACTAGAAGGATGTGAACCTATGACATACAACTATCTACTGGGGCTTTGGGGGGAAAAAAATGAATAAATAAAATCTTTAAAAAAAAAAGAAAAATACAACCTAATCTTATTAAGCCTCTCATCTACTATCAGTTTACAAGGATTACAGGGGACAGAAGACCATTTTAAACACCACCACTGGGATGCAATCCATGAAATTCAGATGGTGGGAAAGAATACAAGACCAACAAGCTGGATATAAATAAGATAGGGAAGGGGAAAAAACTAAGGGGAAAATTATAAATTGAGAGAGACTTATCCTTAAGAGAGTATATCAATCGAATGAAAAATGTGGGCTTTGGCTCAACAAGCCAACTATTAAAAAAATTGATAAGACAGTAAGGGAAATTTGTACTCTGGATATTTGATAGCAAGGAATAACTGCTAATTTTTTTAGGCATGAATACTATTAACAGTATTAACCGTTATTAACGTATTAATATATATGTCATACATTAACATATATTAATACATTAATATAAAGTATTCATGTGGTACAGTTAAATATGATTTAAAACAAGAAAGTCACAGCTCATAAAGATACACACTGAAATATGGATGGATGAAATGATGTGATGTCCAGGACTGCTTCAAAATAACCCAGTGAAGGCAGGGTGCAAGAGATTGAGGATATGAATGAACACAACTGGCCATGAGCTGATAATGTCTTTAAATTTTCATAATAAAAAGTTACCACAACATGAAATAATTTTTTAAAAATGACTTAAACATGATAAACAAATGCAACCTGTAAAGCTCAATTTGGAACAAATTAACTGTAAAAAAATATATTTTAAAGATAGCCAGAGAAATCTGAGGATATTAGAGAACTACTGTTAATTCCTTCTAGGTGTGATAATGGTCTTGTAGCTGTTTTGTTTGTTTTAAAGACTCCTTATCTTATATAATTATAAAATGAAATATTTACAGATGAAATAATATATATCTGGGATATGCTTCAAAATAATCTGATAGGGGAGGGATACTGTATATGAAAAAAAATTGGCCATGAGTTTATAATTGTTAAAGCTGAGTGATGAGTACTTTTATACTATTGTACTATTCTAAGTGCCTATTTGTATATGTTTAACATTTTCAATAATAGAAAGGTTTTTAAAAGTCAACTGATTTTTTTATTTAGTAGTCAAGCTGAATATCAAGCTCATATGGAAAAATAAACAAAGAAGAAAAGTCAAGAGAACTTGAAAAAAAAAATTAATGTTGCAACTGTTTGGATGGAAAAG